TTAGGAAGAGAGTGTTGGAGGCTGGGGAGGGTTTTCCAGGGGAGCCGGAAGCTGTGGGTTGTGGAGGAAATGTGGGGGCATCTCCTAGAGTTGGGGGGACAGCTGGGCCCTGCTCCCACAGTCCAGCTGCCATCCTGGTGAGCCTTTTAGCACCTGGCGGGTTATTTGAAGCTGAAACTACAAGGGGTTGCGGTGAGGCCGGGTGTTAAACTGAGAAGGTAGGAGAGGGGGTGATTTATGGCTTCAGAGAAGCTATGTTTACTCCGGGACTGCTCTGGAAACCAAAAACCAAACAGAGCAGAGGCGGGAGGAGCCCCTCTCCTTGTAGTGGGAGACGATGCCAGGCTCACTGGCTGGGATTTATTTTCCCAGATGTGGGGAGATGGTGGGAACCGTCCCTTTGCAGGCGCAGGATGCGGTGGGTCTGTGTGATGCAGAAGGAGAGTGTGCAAGCGTGCACACGTGGAGGTGTGTTTGTGTATTGTGTGAGAGGGTCCGCACACTGGGGCACACGTGCGCTTGGGCTGGGGTCTGTGGGGGTACAGCATCGCCTTGGGAGTGGGCACACAGGGAGCTGGGAGGGAGGCTCCGTGTTCTCTGGTCCTGGTACTCTGTGATGTGATAGCTCTTTCCGCGCTTTGCTGCCCCGTCCTCTCACCATGCTCCCCCCACCCCTGCCCCCTGCTCCGTGCTTTCTTTCCTCCCACAGCCACATGCAGCACAGTCCACTTGGCCTGGTCCCTGGCCCCTCTGTGCCATCTGCCCACGCTGCCTGATCTTCCCTTTGAACCTTTAACTTTGCTATGGGAGACTAAGGAATTAGTGAGCGTGCCTGCGTGGAGAGGGGGGAGGGGAGCAGGAGAGAAGAAAAAGGCCTGGGGTGGTAGCCGAGATCGGTGCTTGGACACTGGGCCTTGGCAGGCTTGGGTTCACCATTACTTCTCCAATTCTCCCGAAGTCTCTGCTTGGGAAGGGACAAGTGAGCACAAAGTGGAACAGAGGACAGGAGCCATGCAGGATGCTGGGGGTGGGGAGAGAAATATTTTGACCCCAGATAGTTATGTCCTCAGGCCAACTGGTGGCTCTTGCATTTCTTTATAGAAGCCTGGCTTTGCCTGGAAATTGTTTTGCATTAAATTTTCTCAGCCGCAGAATTATCTTTCCTCGCCTCCAGCTAAACTTGCATTTTTCCACCAGACACTTGGGCCCCGCACCAATGAAATCTGAGAGGAAGCGGCTGGGCCCTAAGTGGCCGTAATTTAATTGATTTTATCATAAATCATCAACTTGATGAAGAACCCGAGGTTTCAGTGAAGTAAATTGATATTAATGGGAGTTTCTTGAAATGCAAACTCTGCTGCATTGTTGGGGCATCTCGAGCTGGGGAGGTGGATTTCATGTGTCCCAAGAGCAGAGAGCCTGGACCTGGAACCCGTGTTAGGGGGTTAGGGGCATTAGGGGGTCGGGAAAGCAAGCTGTGAGGGGTGCTGCCAGAGGGCTTGTTTCTGTGAGGGAGCGAGGCAAAGAATGGAACTTTCTTGGGGAGGGAGCAGAATCTGACTCTGAACCCTGCTGGTCATCTTGGGAATGCTGGTCTCCAACTGGTGGGGGTGGGGGGGGGCAGTTAGGGAGGCCGGTAGGTGTGTGGGCAGAGTTGGGGGTCGGGTGAGAAAGGCAGGCTGGTACAATGGGTGCATTGACTCCTGGTTAAAAATTGCCAGGTCAAAGCCTTCCCCTTCTAATTATACAAATTAATTATTTACTGCTCAGGTTGCTGTCCAAAAATAGCACTTTTGATTTGGTGATGAAGGTAGAAAACCACCCCCCCCTCCACGCACAACACACACACACACACACACACACACACACACAGAAAAGCGGTTAAAACCGTGCATGAGCCTCTGTGGGGGCAAGGACAACCAGGAGTGGGGTGGGGGCTGGGTAGTGGGGGTGTCCCATTTAAATCCCAAGAAGAAATATTCTGCTTTTGCCAGAGATGGTGCCCATTATTGTCTGAACTCAGTTTACTATTGCGCAATAATGGTCATTCACTTTTACATTAGCACACAGAGAACCACAAGCTGTCAGTCCAAAAAAGGACCTTAGAGATCATTTAAGCCCAATCCCTCCCCTCCACACATGTTCTCTAACTTTATAGAGGGGACACTGAGGCCCCAGGAGTTCACTGCTTCAGAGCACATAGCCAATCTGGAATGCCTAGAAGCCTAGCTTCCCAACTGCTACACCTATGCCAAATTTTTATACAAACCACTTCCTGGCTGTGAGCCTCAGTGTCCCTGTCTGTAACAGTAGCAGGGGTAGGACAGGACAGTGTCTGAGTTGTCCCTAGGTGTAACCTTGGGTAACTCTCTAGTGCTTGGGGTCCTGAGAGCATCTGGGTATAGATGCTTATTTGCAATATACAGGGAGTTTGTGTTCACCCAGAGCAGTGGATAGTTACTCTGACTGGCTCTAGGAAATCTATTAGAATCTGGACCATTCTTCCTCTTGAAGGTGTCTTTATTCTCAACAGAGAAGCCCAGGCTGAGAGCAATAGAAACAGAAGGCAGTGGAGAGGGGCTGGCTAGCTGGGTTGGACTGGGATTGGCATTTGGGGGTGAGGGGCTAAGGAAGAGGAGGGTTCCCCTCACAGAGCAAGGCATTTTCCTTGACAGGCACCGGGCTGAGTCTGGAGCTGTTCAAATTTCATCTTTTGAAATTCTTCCTACTCCAGCCCAAAGACTGAATTACGGTTTCAGAATTTAGATTCTGTAATGGTAGGCCACTGTCTGTCCCCCAGCCTCACTCTGACCCCAGGGCCTTTGAGCCCTCTCTTTTTGGGAGAGGACACACACAGGGTGCCACAGCACTGTATCAGGTCTCCTCCCCGGGCAGCCAAGACAGGAGGCTTATGAGGTGGATGAGCCCCTGCCCTATTCTTTTTTTTTTTTTAATTTTTTAAATGTTTTTATTTATTTTTGAGACAGAGAGAGACAGAGCATGAGCAGTGGAGGGGCAGAGAGAGAGGGAGACACAGAATCTGAAGCAGGCTCCAGGCCCTGAGCTGTCAGCACAGAGCCTGACACGCGGGGCTCTAACTCATGGACTGGACTGTGAGATCATGACCTGAGCTGAAGTCAGACGCTCAGTCGGATGCTCAACCGACTGAGCCACCCAGGCGCCCCACCCCCTGCCCTATTCTTGCTCGTCTTCATCTCTTTTCCCAACTGGAAGTAGATAACATTCAAAAGAGGAGAGGGCTTCTCAGGAGTTGCATAGTTGTGAGAGGGAGATTTCTTATAGGGTCAGGGACATGGGAGGCCAGCAGGGGACCAGAGGTTTCCAGACTGCCTTGGGAAGTGTGGCCAGGTACAAGAGTTCTGATGGAGGAGTGAGAAGAGATGGGCAGAACTCTTTGGGGTTCTGGAAATCAGAAGCTCTGTTTTGAGAGGTGGGGGGCGGGGACTCAAAGGGCTGGCAGGTCCAGACTCTGGCCCTATCCTATTCTGACTGGGGGGTGGGGGGTGGGGGGTTATATTTGGAGGCAATTGGGAAGGCCTTCCGCTGATTGGTCATTAATCCGGTGAGTTATTGTCTGCGAAACAGAGGTCACAGGGAGAGAGACATCCAATCTGTCAGGAGAGACCTGCGCAGTCGCTGGCAGCAGGCTGGGCCCCTGTCCTCTCTTGCCTGCCTCTCCCTCCCTTCCCCAGCAGCCCACCTCCTCCCCAAGCTGTCCAAGATTCGCCCTTCTCCCTCTTGCCTTCTCCGGGCTGCCCACCTTTGTCTCAACACCCGCCAGCGTGGGGGGTTGCCAGGCCGGGACTGAGCTTCCAGATGCGGCGGGGACCCCGGATTCAGAACGGGTTCTTGAGCCTCCAGGGCGCCCGCCTGCCCCGGACTCCAGCCTCGGCCCCGCGGCACCTCCATCGGCTCCGTATGGTCAGCGCATTCAGGCGGCCTCCGTGGTCACCGAGACACTTTGCGAACCCACGTGGCTGCCCTCCCCCCTTTTTTTCCTGCTTCCCCCTCGCGCCCCTACACTTTCGGGGCAGAGAGAACACAGCTTGCCTTTTTCTTCTCTGACCGTACTCCGTCTTCTTTCGATCCCGGCTTCCGCTGAGCCGGGTCTACACTGACCTCCGCGGAGGCACCGAATCTTCTCCTGCCCCGTTTCCCCTTTGTTTCCTCCCGCAAGGGCATCTTAGAGAGGTGGGGGTTGGGAATCCACACACCAAGAGCCATCTTCATTAGCAATTTAATTTTACAACCGCCAGCTTTGAAATCTTTATTAATATTCAAGAAGAGATGGACATTCCGGGGTGTGTGTGTGTGTGTGTGTGTGTGTGAACTTCACCCGAGTCCGCAGCAGCCACAAAGTTGGGGCAGTGAAGCTGGAAGAGTGTGGGACCCGGAGCCCAGACAAGACCAGAAAGAAACAGATCTCGAATCGCTTCGCACCCCCGCTCCCAGGTCCCCGCTCCCAGGTCTCAGTGAGCCCGGGGTTGGTTGAGCTGGGGGCCAGATCCTTGGTCACCCCAAAGCTGAAACCAGAAATCGATTTTAAAGGAGCCAGCCATTTTGTCCTTATTGAGAGGAGAATTTTCGTTTGCTCTTTAATGGGTTTTATTGGGAGGGGGGAGAGAAAGAGACATGATCCCTCTAAGGCCTGGGAGGGTGGGCGCCAGGAATGGCTTAAAGAGGTTTAAAGTGCTCCTTGTGCCCTGATATTGAGTAGGGATTAGGAATGGAGGAGGGGAGTGCTGTAGGGAGTGGAAGAGGAAACTGTGCCCATGAAGGGGGCTCTTCTTTCTAATATTTACCTTTATTATTAATTTCTGCCTTTGTTAGATTATCATAAAGTCTGTCCTGATCTTTTCTCGAGTTTTCCTTTTCAATTTCTCTCTCACACACGCACACGGTAAGTCGCCCAAGTTTCCCTTCTTGGGTGCAGGGAGAAACTGGCCACTCCTCTCTCTGGTCTGCCCCTAAATCACCACTGCGTTGTCAGGAGTGAGAAACTCCTCTCCCCTGTCTTTTTCTAGACTCCGGTCTTCCCTCACACCCCTCTGATGTCTCCTACTCCGAGTCGCCTGGCCCAGCTCCTCACTGCCCTGCCTTTGCCCACCCAGTGGAATGGGTGCCGGCCAGGCTGCCTCTTTACCATCAGCCTCCCATCTCCCAGCCCCGATCAGGGGCAACCGGCCCGCCAAAAATCTCCAAGAAAGGAAGGAAAAAGGCAAGAAAGAAACCAAACTGGGATCTAATTGCCTCCCAAGCATTTCAAGTGGACTTTGTTCTCCAGGTTTAATAAGAAGCCCCCACTCCATCTCTTACCGCGTTTGGGGGGTGCGTGTCTTCTGAAAGTTTTCTCCAGGTTAGCTTTCTCCAGCCCCAGTCCTCTTTCTCGCCCCCCATCCCACCGTGCCCCAGCTCCTTGTGTCACCAGAAGGGACCACAATGAGTTGAGGAGGCTCTGGGAGGGGAGGGGTCCGCTACTGTCTGGGGAAAGCATCGCAGCCCCAGTCTCACAGGCCCGCCTTGGTCTGGGTGCCCTCTAGGCTCTCTTTTATTCCTTGAAGCAAAGCTGTGCAGCCCCATAGCCACCAGGCTCTCCTCTTCTCTCAATTTTGCAATGACCTTCTCTAGCCAGTGGTAGCAACAGCTAGGAGAGCTGGAGGGTCTGAGGTCCATTTTTGACTTTTAATTTGGGGGAGTCAGAGAAAAGACCCAAAGGTGCTGGTTCCCTTAAGCCTCTGGAAGCCTCCCTGGGCTGAGTCCCCAACCCACTAGGCCCAAAGCTACATAGGTACCAACACTGTAGGCCCCTGACCAGGGTCTGGAAATCTCAGGACAGGCTCTGTGCAGCCCTAATGGCTCTCTTTGAGGGTCCTGGCTTGAGCCACAACTTCGGCTCTGGCTTGAGCATTTTCTTTTCTTGGTACTACTGATAAACAGAAAAATGGCCCCCACCCTTCATCCTCATGCACATCCCCCCCACCCCCTTCCTTCAGCCACCAGCTCTCTAGGCAGGTGGTAGTAGGGTCCTTGGGGCATCACAGTGGGAGGTTCTGCATGTGGTTCCTGTTGCTGGAGGGCAGGGAGGCCATGGGTCCCACCCACCCCGTTCAGCAAGGCCCCCCAAAACTGGCTGCTCCAGCCCGTGAAAACTGACTTAGCAGGCCCGGAAGAGGTAGGAGCTGGAGGAGACCCTGGGAGAACAGGACCCTTTCTCAGCCCAAAGCAGAGCTTGTGAGTGGGGAGCAATAGGGTGTGAGGGGAGCTTTGCCAGACACAGCCACCCTCTCCCGGAGGGGGACAATAGCTGGAACCATCTCTCACCTTTGTTCTCCCAGTCCCATCTCCTCTGGTGCGTCCAGATGGGAGAAGGCAAAAGCCAAGCATTCTAACCAGGAGGTCACAGGGTAGTGGCTGGCTCTGTCTACTCCAAGTTAAAGAGAACAAGTTTTCCAAGCTGCCTTTGTAGAAAAGAGAGACTCTCTGCGTTCTATTTCATCCCCTAAGTCCCGACTCAGCAGTTAGGCAGAGTTGCAAACACTCCTGCTTTGGGAAACGTCCTGGTCTTCTTTTTTGTCTGTTTCGTCCAGCGGGAATGGCTCTCCCCACCCCCCCGCCCCAAATCTGCAGACACCTACATTCTTGGCTCTTGTCTCCCTCCTACAGGCCTCCTTGCCTTTTCCTGCCCTTCTCAAACACACCCTAAGAAAAGTTTAGCTTTTGTAGTCTTCCTCATTTGTGCCAAGAGTCATAAATCTTGCAGAGCTAAGAGAAACAAACAGGTTTGTTCGGAACAATACTAATAACCACCCTTCTCTTCTGCCAGCGGATTTAAGATGAAGCCATTTTGGTAGTTCTTCTCACCTTCTCAGAAGTACAAATGTCCTTATCACCTCTTAGCCCCTTCTGCCTATCCCGAGGTGAGAATCTTAACAGAAACTTCTCTGTTAAGTTCTTACAGCCTCTCTATTGCCAGCCGTGTCTGGAGCTCGAGCTAAACAGAGTCCCCCTTTTGTCACCCTCTCCTCAACCCCCCTCCTGCTGCAAGATGGTCTGGATTTTTAAAATAATCACTCACCGCTTGTTGTCTGTTCTCAAAAAAGGGGGGGTGTTTTTTAAAAAACGTCTGGCTGTCCCCCCTACCGGTTGGAAACTTGGGCCTGGAGACTTGCAGGGAGAGAAGAGGAGTAGGGAGGGTGTGGGGGAAGAGAAGAGACAGACTGGGAGACTCAGAGTGTGGTTGGGGGGGAAGCCAGGGTGAGAGGGCGGGAGACCCAGCCACCAGTCCCAGAGGAGTGAAACTACTTAAAAAAAAAAAAAAAAAAAAGCCTTGGTGTTGCCATTGCCAATGAATGCAGAGAGGCACCCAGCACCCCCACCCCCAGACACCTTGGGTGCCTTTGACTAGGCCTCCCCACCTACTTCTCAGTTAGCATAATGGCTTATTAGTGGGGTGCGGGGCGGGAGGGGGGGGAGCTGTGAACTCCACCAGCTTTCCCTTGCCCGTGCTCTCCTCTTCCTCCCCCGCCAAAATCTCAATTTAAAAATTTACCTGTTCTTTAAACAAACAAACAAACAAACAAACAAACATCTCTGCCTTCTTTCCTTTCTCACTTTTTTTTTCCGGGGGGGGGGGGCGTTAAAAAATTTCCCCCGCCCCCATCACCACCACCACCTTCCCTCCTTATCTGGCATCTAAGCTTACTAAAGGGGGAGTGGTGGGGGTGTGTGTGAGCTTGTGTGTGTGTGTGTGTGTGAGTGTGTGTGTGAGTGTGTGTGTGTGTGTGTGTGTGTGGTTTTTTTTTTTTTTTTTCCCTGTGCAAAAGCAGAGGCCATTGTTACGGAGAGTAGGGCGTACCAGTCTTGTAGGGCAACCACACTGTGGCGGCTTGGCCAAGCCGGAGCCCGGAGCTGGATTCTCAGCGAGCTGAGCCGCTCCAGCACCTTTCGGTCTTCTTCTATTTTTTTCCCCGCTCCCCCACCCCCCTCCCCCCTGCGCACCCCCGCTCCTAAGCCGAGTGAATTGAAGCGGACGCCGCGCGGCTCCACCGGCCGCTCTGCCCCTCGGGCTCCCCAGCCGGGGTGGCTACTGGGGGGGGGGCGACGCAGCTTTAAACAGTGGTCTTTTTTTCCTTTGCCTTCAAGGAGGGGAGATTTCTCGCCTGCCGCTCGCGCTGGGGCTCGATGTGAATATATATTATGTCTGCCTGTTCTCCCCTCGTCGGTGGCTAAGGTAAGCTGGACTGAAATAGGCTATCAGTTTGTGAATGGCGGAGAGTATGTCTCAATGATTTATGGCCCATATGACTCCAATCTCGGTTCAAGAAGAGTTCACAAGCTTTAAGCTTCCTTCCACGCAGCGACTCTCCTCTCCTCTCCTCTCTCTCTCTCTCTCCCTCTCTCTCTCCCTCCCCCTCCCTCCCTCCCTCCCTCTCTCTCTCTCTCTCTCTCTTCCTCTCTCCCTCTCCCTTCTTGCTTCTCTCCTTTTCTCCTCTTTTTTCTTTCAGCAGCCAGAGTCAGAGCTGAATTTCCCCCGGCTGCTAAGAAGAGCCTAAGCTTTCTCTCCTTTCCTTTCTTGTTCTTTTATTTTTCTTCCTTCCACTAATTTTTTTTTTTTTTAAGTCCTGGAAGGTGGCCTATCCCCTCTCTCCGGGCTTCCCCAGCTATTGTTACTGTCCTCGGCTCTTTTCAGGGGTGTGCCTGGACAGGTGGGGTTCTTGGGGTGGCTCACCGCCCTCCTCCAACGAGACCCTGGGGGGAAGCCGGGAGCCACCGTCTCCCTCCCTCCCTCTCTCCCGAGAAGCCATATGGAGCCTGGATTTTTCCAACATGGAGGCAAGGGAAATAGACATGTTTGGCTTGGTAGAGCTGCTCCCCACCCCCTCTTCTCCTGGATCCCCAGATCTCAGATCCCCTCAGCACCTTCACCTCTTCTCACTGTCCCACCAGCCAGGCCTCTGCGCCCTCCGGTCGATCCGGGCCTGGCAAAGTCCCAGAGCGGAGTTGCTAAGGCGCCTTTTAATTCGGTTACCTCCAGCGCCCAAACTTGCTGCCCTCCGCCCGGTGTGCTTGGAACCTGCCGCCGCTAGCCGTTGAGGCGTCCTGAACGCTTTCTCTTCGCCTCCTTGGGCCAGCATAGCTAGTCACCAGCCACCGCGGCAGCAGTGGCCGAGACAGCCCGGAGGCGGCAGCCAGGGGCTGGCTCCGTCCACAAACCTCCCGGCCCTTTCTCGCCGCCAGCGGAGTCTCCATTCTTTCCTGTTACGTCTCTGGCTTCTCCGCTTCCCACACTCGCCTGGCCTCTGTCCTGCGATGGTTTGCAGGTTTATTGCAGGGGGAACGACAGGAATTTCGGCCCCAGGCGCCTAGTCAGATTATTGCTTTATCATCATCATCACCATCATCATCATCATCATCATCATCATTACTGCTGTAACAATCATTTAGACTAAATAAAGCCAGGGCCCAGCCAGCCAACCCCTTCCAACGTTTTTATTTCATTCTCTTCGCTATTAATAACAAACTCAACTGATGCCTGTTAATTAATTCCCCCTTCATCCAGGGCTGCTCTGAAGCTAATTTTGGTTAAATCATCAGAGGCTAATGGTAATAATAATAAAGGGATTGGGTCAGCCTGGTCAATTGAACTCCAGTTCTCCTCCCTGGAAGGACCTGCTGTTTGCAGACCCATGTGTATTTCCCAGAAACAAATTCTTCCCAGAAACCAATCGGAACTCAGGGCTCCCCGGCTTCCTTTTGAATGTGTATCTGTGCCATTAAGAAGGGGATTTATGTGTGGGAGGGACTTCTTCACCTGCACTCCTTTTATTTTATTTGCCTATTTTTAGTTTTCTTTGGGGTTGAACAGCTGGGCTGAATGAGATTTAAGTAGTCTAAACTCACATGTCAGAAGAGAGGGTCACTCTGGAGGTTTTATGAAATGTGATGATGAGAAATTGGGGAAGACAGGGAGGAAAAAAATGCAGTCAGAACTTTTAGAAGAAATATACAAAATCCTATGACAGCACGAACCTTTATTTTTTTTCTGCACAGTTTTAAGCGTCTGCACTAAAATAATTTTTTTTTTTTGCCTCAGAAAACTTCAGTAAACAAGGTACCCTGTTTCCAACCCAGAGAATCATATTGTTCTAATTGCTCTGTGGACTTTTTTTCCTTTGGGAGAAGATGTCCTCAGGAAGTACTTTTGCGTCTCTTGGTAGTAAAGTCCAGCAGTTATCCAGTTTTTCTCTCTTCTTTTCTTCTTTTGGGGAAATCAAAGGACACAGACTGTCAAGGAAAGGGTGGGAAAAAATTAGGTCTGATGAAAAAAATGGAGCGGGGAGAGACCTGGGCCAAATGGTCACTGCACCAATCCGTCTGGCCAGGGAAATAGAAACAATCCTGCTCCATTTGGGGGCCCCATGGGGGCCGCTAGCTGCTAGCTGCTGGGTCCCAGACTTAGCTGAGCAAAGACTCAGACTGGAGGTGGTGGTTCCTCCAGGGCCAGGGAGGAGGCTCGGTTCTGGAGGTTAAAAATGTTCAGGAAGTTTCTAGGTCAGGCTGTTGTTGTCTTCTTCGTGAGGTGGGTAGGGAAAGAGAGGATCCCTCACAGGACAAGGTTCCCTGCTCAACTTGCTTCTCCTTCCTGTCTCTTTTGGAGATCCTTGGGGTTTTTTTCCTCCAGGCTAGACTCTGCTTGGGTGACAGACCTAGATGGACCTGGAGGGAGGCAAAGACAGCAGGCAGGAGGCCTCTCCGCTCACAGGAGGGTGTTGATGATGTTTTTATTTTGGAGTCTCCTAGTCCCCCCCCCCCCCCCACTCCTTGAGCCACCCTATCCCAGAGTTAGTAGGGGGAGATAGGGAGAGGGAGGAGGAGAGGTCAGGGACTAGCCTGCAGGCAGGAAAGAAGCAATGGCCTTCCAGTAGTAAGATTGTATACCTAGGCAGTCCCCGAAGGAGTAGAATCCTTATTTTTGAAGTGGAAAAAAAAAATTTTTTTTTTTAATTAAAGCACTGAAATAAGAAAAATCCATTTCAGGTCAGGAAAGTGGCCTCAGCATCTGCTTTGAAGATGTTGGGGTTGGGGAGAAGAAAAAACCCTATTGATGTCAGTTCCCTTTTCAGCTCTTAAGATGGATTCGAGCCCCAGTCCTCTTCTCCCCCTTGTGTCTCTTCTCTCACCCCACAGGTCAGCAGCTCCCAACGGACTCGGGAGGAGGGGGGCAGAAAGGGGAGGGGGGGGGTCCGGCGCCTCACGTGACCCCCGCGGGTGCCAATGTCCGGTCGTGAGGGTATCAGGCTCTTGCAAGTTGCCACCCACTGCCCGGGCCTCGCCCAGCGATGCAGAAAGCCACCTACTACGACAACGCCGCGGCAGCACTCTTCGGAGGCTACTCCTCGTACCCTGGCAGCAATGGCTTCGGCTACGAAGGTCCCCCCCAACCCCCCTTTCAGGCCGCCACGCACCTGGAGGGCGACTACCAGCGCTCGGCGTGCTCCTTGCAGTCCCTGGGCAACGCCGCCCCGCATGCCAAGAGCAAGGAGCTCAACGGCAGCTGCATGAGGCCCGGCCTGGCCCCCGAGCCCCTGCCCGCCCCGCCCGGCTCACCCCCGCCCAGCGCCGCACCTACCAGTACCACTAGCAACAGCAATAATGGGGGCGGGCCCAGCAAAACCGGCACCCCCAAGTGCGTTCCTGGCTCCAACTCCACCCTCACCAAACAGATATTCCCCTGGATGAAAGAGTCAAGGCAAACGTCCAAGCTGAAAAACAGCTCCCCCGGCACAGGTACCAGCTCTCTGCCTTCCTCGTCGTCAGCTTTTGTCCAGGCCAGGAATGTCACTGTTATTCTAGCACCCAGCCCCTAGGCGCCCAGGCGGCGGCCAGGGAACAATATCAGGTGGCGGCCCTGCAGCGGCGCTTTTCCCGTAGCCCCCACCACCTGATGACCCCTGACCCCGCCAACACCCTCTCCCTCCAGCCACCCTTCACCTGAGCTGCCGAGAGCTCCAGAAGGCCAGGCGCTCGGACTCAGCCCTTTGCAAGGCCGCAGAGCCACGAGCCGCTGCCAGTAGACGCAGAGTCGTCAACGATTGATTATTATTAAGTATGATTACTGTGGGTATTAATCACAATCGCTCGGGCCGCCCGGGGTCCCGGCCTCCAGGCAAGGCAGCCTCTTCGAGCCACACTTCCGAGCCCTGCCCCCGAATGTTCAGATTCCCCCAGGGGTTCTCCTCGGCCGCCCACCTAGTCCACAGGACCCCGGCAGGAAGTTTGTGTGTGTGGGGGGGGGGGGGGTGTGTCTTCCCAGAACCTGGAGTTGGTGATGGGGGAAGAAAGCGCGCGCGAGAAAACCCAGCTCTAAATAAATGGCCATGCGGCTCTGTCTGCGTGACATGATCAAATTTTCATAAGCTGGGGCAGCAAGAGGAGAACAGGTCTCTTAATAAATGCCACTATTATAGAGTGTCCGCTAATGCGACGGGCGTTGGGGGGGGGGGGGTGGTGAGGAGGAGGCGGGGACGAGAAGGGGAGGGCGGCGGGGGCTCCGAGTCCAGGCCTGGATTTATTAAGAAACCATGCATTCAATTTCGGCGTGTTCAGTAATTATCTTTTATTTCATTTTGTCCCCTTCCCACCCCTCCCCCTCGGATCCAGCGGAGGGCTGCGGCGGCGGCGGAGGCGGCGGCAGTGGTGGCGGCGGGGGCGGCGGCGGCGGCGGGGGAGGGGACAAGAGCCCCCCGGGGTCGGCGGCGTCCAAGCGCGCGCGGACGGCGTACACGAGCGCGCAGCTGGTGGAGCTGGAGAAGGAGTTCCACTTCAACCGCTACCTGTGCCGGCCGCGCCGCGTGGAGATGGCCAACCTGCTGAACCTCAGCGAGCGGCAGATCAAGATCTGGTTCCAGAACCGGCGCATGAAGTACAAGAAGGACCAGAAGGCCAAGGGCCTGGCCTCGTCGTCCGGGGGCCCCTCCCCTGCCGGCAGCCCCCCGCAACCCATGCAGTCCACGGCCGGCTTCATGAACGCCTTACACTCCATGACCCCCAGCTACGAGAGCCCGTCCCCGCCCGCCTTCGGCAAAGCCCACCAGAATGCCTACGCGCTGCCCTCCAACTACCAGCCCCCTCTCAAAGGCTGCGGCGCCCCGCAGAAGTATCCCCCGACTCCGGCGGCCGATTACGAGCCCCACGTCCTCCAAGCCAACGGGGGCGCCTATGGGACGCCCACCATGCAGGGCAGCCCCGTGTACGTGGGCGGGGGCGGCTACGCGGATCCGCTGCCGCCCCCTGCCGGCCCCTCCCTCTACGGCCTCAACCACCTTTCCCACCACCCCTCGGGGAACCTGGACTACAATGGGGCGCCCCCTATGGCCCCCAACCAGCACCACGGACCCTGCGATCCCCACCCTACCTACACAGACCTCTCCTCTCACCATGCGCCTCCTCCTCAGGGTAGAATCCAAGAAGCGCCCAAATTAACACACCTGTGATCGGAGAGGGGCGGGGGGGGGGGCTGGGGCGGCGGAGGGGCGAGGTCTTGGGGTGGGTGAGAGCTACGAGGGGCGAGGGGCGCAGGCCGTGCGCTCTGAGGGGGCAGCCTGGAGGTCTGAAATAGGGAGGCAAAGAGGCGAGAGCCACACTTGCTGCTGGGAAGACCCGGGCTGGAGCCCCTTCCCCTCCCCCTGGCCTGAGAAGTTGCTTTGTGAGGTCCTCCAGTCCTTGCTCGGTCCGCCTGCCAACCCACTGGAGAGAAATCCACAGCCGACTGTGGAGATGATCCCCTCAACCCTAGGCCTCCAGCAATACCCAGTTAGGAGATAGGGAAACAAGGCAGAGAAGCACATTTTAAAAAGCAGACAAGATGGCTAGGCCATCACCAACCAACCAACCAACCAACTAACTTACCTTCCATCTCTGTGAGTAATTCCTCCAAATCTTGATTTTTTTTTTCCTTGCAGTTCTCCTTTAAAAAACAAACAAAAAAAGAGAGCCCATTTCAAAACCAAGGGCCCAAAGCACCCTCCCCTCCCACTTTCCTGAAGCCTCAAGTTTCCTCCCACCCATGTGAGGTTTCTGGGGGCGCTCCCTCCATTTTTAGCCCCATAGTTTCTGCTTTAGGACATTCATGTCTACACCCCGCCCCCCTCTATTACAGTTTTCAGAGGGCTCAGGGATGGCGAGAGATCCTGAAAGTCAGAGCTGTCTATATTACAAATATATATATTTTTTCTTTTATGGAACGCTGGGAGGTCAGAGCAGGCAAGGTGTCAGGACTGAAGCTTTGCCCATTCTGCTGTCTCCCATCTCAGCTCCAGGACCATCCCCCTCTCTCCACAGAAAGCAATCGGGCGACACGAGGTTCTACACTTTTCTTTTCTTCTGTTGCTCTCTTGACTTAACGTGAAAACAGGGTATATTTTAACAAACTGTCTGTCCCAGGCAGGGGCTGCAGCTGGGCCTGTGCGCCTCGCTCAACCCCCTGTCAGGACACTTTTGTTGCACTTAGAGTTTACATTTTAATGGATATAAAAACAACTGTGAGAGATGCTTGGGTCTGCAGGAGTCCGGCATCGCTCAAAAAGTGTGTGTTCTAGTGAACATTTTCATATATATTTATTGGTTATAGCCTGTTAAAATATTTTCTTTTTTGTATTATTTATCCCCCCCCACATTATGTATTTATATGAGGGAAAAAATGACAAATTGTACTTTTTTAGTATTTACTTGTTATAAAGGACGTTGTGTTTCCTGTCATGTAAAACCAGCTATTTTAGTTATTATTGTACTCTAGAAAAGAGCTGTAGATTTATGTTAAACGCGTACTTATGAGCAATTGTAATTAGTTCTAAAAGGCATGAACTCAGCTCCTATTGTCATTGTATAGTCCTGAATTCGTAGAGTTAGAGTTAATTCCCTCTCGAAACTTTCTTTGTTCTTCCGTAGTTACTTTTTTCCTCACTTAAAAGGGTTGTCTGTCAAACAATTCTTGAATAAACTTTCTGTTATCAATTTTATCTTGTCCTGGTGGTCCGATTTACATAGCAGGGGGAGGCTGCTGACTGCCAAACTTCCCCCAAGGAAAGAAGGCCGTCGAAGACCCTATCTTGGCCTCTCCGTTTTTCTCATTGACCTTTTGTCCTCTCCTGTCTTTGGCCACAACTTCCTGGCCACACCTTCAACAACAACAACAACAACAACAACAACAACAACAACAACATCTGGCCGTTTACTGCTTCTTCCAAGGAACCTAAACTTCACAGTTCTCTTCCGGAGCTACAAAGAAGTCGTCACGTGACCAGAAGCCCAACCACCATTGGGTCTAAAATGAAAACAAAGGAAAATGATTAAAAAAAAAAAAATCTGAGGCCTAGACTTCTCAGGTCAAACCTTAAAACTAAAGTGAAATTAAATCACTAAATAAAACTCGGGGCGGAGGGAGAGGAGGCGCTTTAGATTTTCCCTGCCAAGGAAAGGGGAGAGGGAGGAGGGAGGGCGAGGCAGTGGGATCCAAGCGTAAATAAAATGGTCCCCAGGCAAATGTGCAGCTCCGTTTCCACGATCCTTGGGAAAACTTCATTTCTTAGTCGTGGTTCCATAAAAGTTTTATCACATCGGAGCGAGGATAGAGAGGGTCTGTCAAAGATGAAATGTCACCGCCGCGTCGCTGGAGCCGATAAGAGCGAAGAGACAGGGCGGCTGAAATATGGAGCTAATTCGTTGAAAGAGAAGCGATGGCTGCTTGCTGAAGAGATGCATAATTCTAATTGTAAGCGATGCGCCCGCATTGCTTAATTAGGAGCATATATTTGGTGGTAGTGGGCCGGCCCCCCCCCAGTGTCAGTGAGAATCGTTCCAGGCCCTCAGCCTTAAAGCGAGGGCTGATTTTCATTTTTATGTTGCATCCTGGCAGTCCAAGGTTAGTAATTACAGTCTTTATGCAACAATAAATAACAATAAAAAAGCAACCTGAATTCTCCCCCCCCCCCCCCACCAGGTAGGGTTTTAACTGGACTCGGCTCATCCAAGCAGCAAGCAATTTAGCATCGGGTCAGGCTATAATTTAAAGGCATAAAAGCGTGCAAAGTTTGATTGGGATCAAATAACGCTCAAGGGTTTTTTCTTTCTTTCTTTCTCTCTTCCTCTTCCCTGAATAACATTTTCTGAATGATGTAACTAGATGGAGCGCCATGTTTGGCTCTGGGGGTGGAGTGGATTGATTATTTATCTAGCGCGAGAGAGGCAGGCCAAGAGAAGGAATTGAGCTTGAGTTTGAAAAACAGAGCTTTGGCCTGAAGCTGGAATTGCAAACGAAAAATAAGGGCCCACTTGGCTTTGGTGTCCTCCGCCCTTCTTTCTGCGGGCTTCCAGGCTCTAGCTAAGCAGCCAAAGTCGTGGGGGAAAATATCTGTGCTGTAAGATTCACAGCATAACAGGAGGCGGGGAGGCGGTGTCTCTGGGAAGGAGGGCTCTCTTGGCCCCTTTTAACACCCAACTTTTCTGCTGTTCTCTAATCTGGCCATAAAATCTGTCAGCAGGGTTAAAGAGAGCCGTATTTCCTGCAGGGACAGTCTCGGCCTGAGCTGATGCGGAGAGAAGCGCTCTACCCTGCAGCCAGCTGGAGAGGCTGCGGAAAAACTTCCAGGGCTTCTCAAGGGGGTGAATGGAGGGAGCACCCTCTTTCAGGCCTCCCTGCACAACTTCCAGACAACTACTCTTCGGATTCTTCTCTGCCCACCTCCCCCCCCCCCCCCCCCCCCCACCCCCCCCCCCCCCCCCAAATGGCGAAAAGTGCCTTCTTTGGAGTGGAGTTGGACACAACGGTCTCTGGCCAGTTTGCCCAGTTCAGAGCAGCTCCTTCTGTTCTGAGCCCTCCGCAGCGGTCCACCTCCCGTCCCTGCAGCCCCCACCTACAAATCCCCTTTCTCTCTCCTGGCTCTCCTCTGGCCTTCTCGGTCCTTTTTAAATACTCACCGCCACCCACGCGGATGAATACTCACCGCCACCCACGCGGCTGTTACATTGACAGAAAGTTTCTAGTTCCAGCTCCCGGCTGAGTTGCCATTTCTCTGCTAACCAGCCTTCTCCTCCTTGCTGGGCAGCCGAGAGGAGGAGGGGGAGGGGAGGCCAGAGCCGTGGGAGTTCTCCACACAAACTTTCCACCCAACTCAGCGTCCTTCCCTCTGTCCCCATTGCCCATCTGTTCCCCTGCTCTCCCAGAATCACCTTTCTCTTTTGCTATCACCCCCACCCCCAGGCCTTTTAAAGGGATGTGGAATTTCGGCTGTTCCCTCGGCTTTCCCAAAGAGCCAAATTCTTTGATGCCATCGGAGGGAGCTGTCAGGGGGCTAAGATTGATCGCCTCATCTCCTCTCGGTCCCTCTGACCCACTTATTTAAAAATCTTCCCCCAGATCGACTTTTCATTTTCTGCTTTGAGATCTAGTTTCCCACCAATTGCTCCGGGGTGGGGGTGGGGGGCGAGTCTTGTGTCCCCTCTCTCCAGTACATTACAATACTCTCTAAAGTTCAGACTGTCTTGATCCCCTCAAAATAAAATTAAAAAAAAAATCCTCCCCTTCCCCCCTAAATGGAATATAATCTCAGTAGTCATTGTTGCCACCCTCTCCGTGCTCAGAGAATTCTTTCTTGCCAGGGATGATGATGATGATTAAAACTAGCACACTGGCAAAAATAGGAAGGGGGATTCTCTTTGTCCTGGGCGGGGATTCCTTCCCCCCAAACATTGGCCTGAGGTTTGAGAGTGCTCTAAGTTAAATCTCCTACTACCTTGGTTCTTGTTCATGTCCCTGGATATAGATACAGATACAGGCTTGAGGCTTGAAGGAGAGCATAGGCACCTTACACCCTGGCTGTTGTGGGGTCCTGAAAAGGAGTGAGATGGCTCCAGGTGAGGAAGGCAGGTGGACAAGTGCTGCAAACACTGGGCAGAGAAGGGAACTGAGACCACACAGCTTTGGCTGCCAGAGGCCCCAAAGAGCCCCTCACCATCTATCTCACTCCTCTGTGTCAGCCTGGGAGTGTCTGTCGATTTTCTAAGATTTATCTGTTGCTTTTGGGGGGGTGGGATGGGGATGGAGGTGCTGATGATTGTAAATCTCTCCTCTTCCTTATTGCACCTTAACACCGACCTTTCCCAAAGGATGGAAGTCTCTTTCTACTATCTTTTTCTTTCACTCTGAGATCCTTACTCAGCTTTCTTTCTTTCTTTCTTTCTTTCTTTCTTTCTTTCTTTCTTCTTTTTAATGGGGGGAGAGTGGGGAAGATAATACGGCTGGCATTATAAAGAAAGCACTAATGTATTCTATTAAAAATATTTGGAAGAGAGGAAGACTTCTCCCTTAGATTCTCTTGTTTTCCACCTTTTGGAGCCTCCCATCTTCTGAAGGGGGTGAGAGAAAGGTTCCTCTAGCTTTTCTGGGGAAAGGGAAGCACTGGGGAGAGGGAGTGTAGGACTGGGGGCTCACGGTGTCCAGGTCGTGGTTCTCTAGAGTTTTTGAATCAATTAAAGCAAATAATGCTCTCTGTTTTCCACCAGGCCCAGACAAGCGATTGGCTGAGGCCAGTCCCGTGACCATGAATTCCCTGCAATTTCGCCGGAGTCCTGGGTTTAATAGAGAGAGTCCCCATACGCTTGTATTTATCAGCAATATACAATTATAAAGGCCCAAAATAAAAAAAAAACAAAAAACAAAAAAAAAAAAACAAAAACAGAGAGAAAGAGCGAAATCTCGCCCTCCCAAAATCGCTCCATCACATAAACCTGGGGGGGGCAGGAGGGGGGCTCCCTTCCGATCCTCCCTCCTGACGCCCCCCCCAGCAGGCCCCCTCCCCCACCATTGAAAGCCATGAATTTTGAATTTGAGAGGGAGATTGGGTTTATAAACAGCCAGCCATCGCTCGCCGAGTGTCTGACTTCCTTCCCCGCTGTCTTGGAGACATTTCAAACTTCATCAATCAAGGAGTCGACATTAATTCCTCCTCCTCCTCCTTTCGAGCAAACCTTCCCCAGCCTCCAGCCCGGCGCCTCCACCCTTCAGAGACCCAGGAGCCAAAAGCGAGGCGAAGATGGGCCCGCTCTGCCGCCGCCGCCGCCGCCGCTCCCCGCCGCCCCCTTGGTCCCCGAGTTCCCCTGGATGAAAGAGAAGAAATCCGCCAAGAAACCCAGCCAATCCGCCTCGTCTCCTCCAGCCGCCTCCTCCGTTTCGGCCTCCGGGGTCGGATCGCCAGCAGGTCGGTTAGCGGGGTAGGGGTGGGGTGAGGGGCAGCTAGAAGAGAGGGGGAGAAAGAGCGATGGGGGAGGTAAAAAGGGTGTCGAGCCTGTTGGGGATCCTTGCCCCGTCTAGTCCAGGGATGAATAAGAAAAATACACTGCTGGGGTTCAGGCCTGGTTCGTTCTTTCTTTCTTTCTTTCTTTCTTTCTCTCTTCCTTTCTTTATTTCAACACTATAGCAGATTTTGGAGGCTGGTTGGGGAAGAGCCTTTTCTCTGTTAGAAAAAGGATTTGATTTAGCTTTTCACCTTTATCTGTACGGAGGAATCAAAGCGGTGTTGGGGATTGAACCTGAGCGCAGGAAGATTCAGTCCCATTTCTCCCTGCTCTCAAAGAGGGGAATTTGAAAGCCAGGGAGGACAGGAGGTGAGGAATAATCTTTCTTAATGAACCTCCTCTCTCTGGGTTAAGCTCGAAAATGCCGAATTGAGGGCTCCACGCCAATGATTCGGGATGGAGGCTCTGAGGTTCTGGGGGCAAAAGGCAGCCGCTCCCTACCCCCTGCGTGGTCCGTGGGCGGCTCTCTGAATGCTGTGCCCTGACCCGGGCAGGGTCTGCCGGCGAGAGGGGGACGGGAAAAGCCGTGAGAGCGGGCCGCTTCGGTAGGCGGGAAGGGGGGGGGGTGCTGCTGATACTGTTTTTGGCGGCTGGGGTGGTCTTCACCTAAGCTGAATGAGGTTGAGCAGGGGACACCGCCCGCTTTTGACACCCAGCCCTCTTTCCCTGCAGATGGTCCGGGACTGCCGGAGGCCGCCGGCAGCGGGGCGCGCAGGCTGCGCACTGCTTACACCAACACGCAACTGCTGGAGTTGGAGAAGGAATTCCACTTTAACAAGTACTTGTGCCGGCCGCGCCGCGTGGAGATCGCGGCCTTGCTGGACCTCACCGAGAGGCAGGTCAAGGTGTGGTTCCAGAACCGGCGCATGAAGCACAAGCGGCAGACGCAGCACCGCGAGCCGCCCGACGGGGAGCCGGCCTGCCCAGGCGCCCTGGAGGACGCCGGCGAGCCAGCCGACGAGCCCGCGGCCAGCCCTGGCCGCCCCTCCGCCTCCCGGCCGGCGCGGGAACCCTGCTGTCACCCGCCCGAGGTCGCGCCGGCTCTCCCGGGCGCCCAGGGCCCCCAGCCTTTGACCGCTCACGTGGGGGGTAGTTTGCGCGCGGCCGCCAGGCTGGAGCCCGAGCCGTTGCCCGAAGACGCCTTCCCCGAGCGGCAGGATTCGCCTTTCCTGCCCGATCTCAACTTCTTCGCGGCCGACTCCTGTGTCCAGCTGTCCGGAGGCCTGTCCCCCAGCCTGCAGGGCTCGCTCGACAGCCCGGTTCCCTTTTCCGAGGAAGAGCTGGATTTCTTCACCAGCACCCTCTGTGCCATCGACCTGCAGTTCCCCTAACCTGTTTCCTCCTCCCGGCCGCTTCGACCCCCGTCCCCTCGTCCCGTCTGCTGGAAAACCCGAGGACCCCCCCCCTCCCCCAAGTCGCTTAGACTTCTTTCTGTGTTTTGCTAAAATTCAGGTATTACTGAATTCGTGTTTAATCCATTTCCTTTCGTTCCTCTCTAAAATATTGGGCACTCGGGTGTCTTTTTAAAACACACAAATTCCGTTCGGTAGACTCCTTCCAACGAAATCTCAGGAATAATTAAACTCTTGGGGGGGCTTTCTTAAAAAAGAACTAGAGGAACTTGTTTTCCTCTCTCTCTTTTTAAGTTTTAGACCCGTAGATTATTTATTGAAATTCTTTAATAATAGGAAAAGGGGAAAGTATTTATTGTACATTATTTTCATAGATTAAATAAATGTCTTTATAATACGAAAACGAGTGTTTGTGTTGGAACCCCAGCCCCTTGCCCCGCACCTCCCTAGGCCGGCCCTCATTCCCTCGGGACCCGCGCGAGGCTGCCCGACCCCGCGTCGGCTAAGTCCGGGTGGTACAAAAGCGACCCTACTTGGCCACCGCTTCTCGACCCGCAGCTCGAGAGGAGTGGGGAGTTTGCTGGAATTCTGTCACCTGCACACCCTCCAACAGATGGCCTTGGGTCCCGCGTCGGTGTTCCCGGGGCTCTGCTTAGAGATCTAGGTGGGCGGGTGGAGGGAGAGGAGGCCTCGGGGACGCGACCGGGGGTCGTAGCAGGGGGCGCAGAGGTTTAGCTGGAGCGGGAGGGCTCCTAGGGTTTCCCAAGCTTCTGGCTTCAGTGCCCCCAAGCCGGGTGGAAAGGCTTTTTCGGGAACACAAGAAGCCTGGGGACGCGAGGCCAGGGGTCGTGGGCCGAGTGGCGTGGGGGGTGGGGGGTGGGGGGGTGTTCTCGGGAAGCAGGTTTCCAAGCGGGCCAGGAAGGAGGCTCGCGGAAAAATGGAGCGAGGCCCGGACCCCAGTGCTCCTCGGTGCCCGCAGCCACTCTAGGGCTTCGGGGTCGGGAGGGCGTCCGAGGAGCGGCGGGACCGCCACCCCGGGGAGGCCCGCGCCGCCTCTGCAGGCGCTAGGCCTCCGGGGGCGGGAAGGAGGAGCGAGGAGAGCTGGAGGGCGACAGGACAGCCGTGAAGATGCTCAAAATGGCGCTGGGGCCGGGCTGCAGGGAGGGCGCGGGGAGAGTCGGTGGCCGCCATGACAGCCGCTTCGGGGCTCTGTCCCCGCGCCCGCCTTCTCCTTTCCGGACCTTCCAGGCCCCCCTGAGGAAAGGGAGCCAGGAGCCTCCTTTTCGTTTTTGTGTTAAAAAAAAAAAAAAAAAGAGGCCAGCGGAGGCGGAGGACGCGCGGGGGACGTGGAGTGCGCGCGGCGCGGGCGGCGCAGGGGTGAGCCGCGCAGGGGTGAGCGGCGAGTCTGCAGGCCCGGGTCGGCCTCGCGGGGTCTGACTGTGCACCCTTGGCTCTGGGATCTAAAGCCCGGCCGCCGCTTCCTCCAGATGCAGGCCTACCTGTCTTACCGACAGCTTCATTTGCCATCTCAGCTCTGTCTCCTATCCCCCACCGCACCCGGCCCGGCTGCTTGCAAACCCGGCGAGCGGGGAAGCCAGGATCGATCTCCCCCATCTGCCTCCTGGTTCGTTCCGGGGAACGCGGAGATTTAAAGGGCCCTGGAAAGCCATCCATCCTTCTTAGGTTTACTTAATATTTCTCTGGCTCAGAAACAGACACCGCAGGGCTACCTCCCCAGCAGATGCTGCCATTCTCGAAAAGCAGTTTATTTCCTGGGCCTCCCAGACTTTCCCCTGGACCAGCAGGACGGGGACTTGGAGTACCAGGCACGGGGAGGCAACAACTGTCAGGAAAAGCCAGGAGCCAACACAGGTCGTGACACATAGGACTAGACAGGCTCTCGCATATTTTTTTAACTGGCCCCTCAGTGTGGGAAGTGCACACATCTTATTCAGCTGGAACTGAATCCCTTAAACTGTCTTAATATAGAATTCATCTCCTGCATTAAATAATCTTATGTCATGTTAAGTTGCACTTATTTCTTTCATACATAAATTAATATAGAACAATTAGATGTGTTATTATAATAATATCATGTATCTTATGAGTTTATTTTCCCTCATAAAATATATAGGTATGAAATAAATTCAATATATTAAAGTAATAATACACAGCTTATTGGCTCGCGTATTTATTTTCCCCATAAATAAGTGAATATACAATATATTAAAACCACACTATACATCTCATTGGGCTGTGTGTTTATTTCTCCATAAAATATGCCCATAGGCAGTGCTTAACATCTTAAAAATCGCAGCACATAGACATCTCTACACCAACAAAACGAAACAGACATTTCAGCTGGGGCTTTGATTTCTATGGACAGCCAAACTAGATAATTTGGTCTAATTAAAAATGCTCTTTCAGCTACAGCAGGTTGTTACAAGGATCAAGAATACCAGAAGGATCTTGCTAATTGCCCACCTTCCAGCTTTCTTTGGTGGCCAAGAGGAGGGCACCCTTCATCAATGCCAAAAATACAGGATCTGCTCTGCTGGAGAGAATTCACATCCTGGGATCATGGCTTGGTCTGTAACACTCTGGGGCCTCTGAGGCTTCCGTTCTCTTAGAGCCTTGCTGCCCCACGGACCCACACACAGCATCAGCAGTACCTGTGAGCTACTTAGAAATGCAGAACCTTAGGCTCCACTTCAAGTCTGCTGCAGCAAAGTCTCAATTTAGCAGATCCCCAAGTAATTTATATGCACATTAAACTTTGAGAAGCACTATTAGATCATAGTGCCACCTTGCTTCCTGCCTTCCTCCCGTGCTTAAGAATTTTTGATCCTCTCTACCCAGCTGATCCTCCCAGTCCTCCCCCAACTCAAAGCAGTGGACCCAAAGGATAGGGAATCTCAGCTCCTTCCTGAGGCTGCACCAGTCCTGATTCCTCCCTGCCAAAGTGAGTGGAGGGCCAGGGGAGTCCAGCCAAAGGCTGGATCTACCTGTTTAGACCTAGGTACTTTGTGTATCCTGAGAGTGGGAAGCAATGAATCCAGGGAATCAGGAGCACTGCCAGCATTTCCCCTGGTTGATTATTAGAGAGAAGTTGGAACTCTTTTCACAGGCAGCCCAGGACACTTTCTGTCTCTATTTTTCCATAGTCACAAAATTCACCGTCTCTGATGCCCCTCCAGCAGCACAAAGAGACAATGCATTTCCAGAAGGAAATGACTCCTGTTTTCAATCTCCCCACCCAATTTCAAAATCAAAGGAATGTCTGGCAATTTGGGATTCGTAAAGGATTGGTACTCTGGACCCCTGTGTCCCAGATCAGCTCCTTTTCCTTATTTCATCTCTGCGGCCATCCTATTTAGCCTGAGATTTCCCAGCTGGCTTTGGAGAAGGAAGGAGAAGGGGTAGGGATTCCCAGATAAAGCAGTAGACCCTCTCCCCGGACCCCCCCACCCCCCTTCTGCCCCACCACCAGTGATGGTAAGCTAGAAGGTAATACCAGGCGGCCACACTCACTTATCCCATTCTGATTGGGGCAGGGCTCCTCTTGGGGCAGGACCATTGTGAGTGGTCTGGAGCACAGACTAGTTCTAAATTGGCTGTGGTTGGAGTGGGAAGGTTTCAGTGCGGTCCCCAAAACTGCGGATCAGTCTGCCCTGCTCTCGGTGAGTCATTTCTTAAGACGAATGACTCAATATTATGGTGAAAGCAAACGACCATTAGACTGAGGAATTATTTGCAATCATGATAACCCGGAGTCATTGACAAAAAAATTTAACTTATGCCTGGCCAAGTCCCTTCCACTTTCCAGACCTCAGTTTCTCCATCTGTACAATAAGTGGAAGAGCTAGATGCGTTCTAATATCCTCTGCATCAATATCCGACCAAAGTAATACTTGTTAGTCTTCGCGAACAACGTATTAAGTACTTATGATGGCTGGTGTCACGTGCTTTCAAATGGAGGTGGTGACTTTTGATGTTTGACAATAACCCACCTCCCAAGTATCTGGTAGGACCCTTTTAACAAATTTTGAATTTGTGACTTAATACCAACCATCATGCCCCAATCATTATTATTATTATTTAAATGTTTATTTATTTTGAGAGAGAGAGAGAGAGAGAGAGAGAATGTGTGTGTGTGTGTGCGCGCACGCGCGTGCACGCGTGCACCTCCGCACAAGGAGGGGAGGGGTACAGAGGGAAAGAGAGAATCCCAAGCAAGATCCGTGCTCAGCACTGAGCCCAACGTGGGGATTCATCCCAGCCCTGTGAGATCACGACCGAGCCGATATCAAGAGTCCTCCACCCAGTCACCCACTGAGCCACCCAGGCACCCCCCTGCCAGTCATTACTTAAACTAGTAGAGAAAGAAACCTTTTCAGCAAGCATGAATTGGGTATAGTGTTATGTGTCAAGTTTTCAATAAATATGGGTATTCCAAAATGTCCTAACCAAGATTTCCTCTGACTTTCGTCCCTTGTCACCTTCCCCAACATTTGGTTATGTTTCCTCTTGCTTCAAAAACAGTAGGACATTTTATACAAAAAGAGCCACCAAACTTCTTCTTTGACACGGTGTACTAGATCTTAAAAGTCCCTTTTAGACAGGTTTTGTCTCCGTGCTGGGGCATCAGAGCACAGGTACAAGTTCTGGGTCTCCTTAAATAGCCCTGCTGAATTCACCTGCCCACCTTTCCCCTAAGTTTCTGACAAGCATTCTGTGGCCGTGCTGTACATCTTCTTGAAGATGTATTTTTTCTAGTCAAATACATGTCCTCAGTTTGCAGAAAGTGGCCTCTAGCCCCCATGGGATCCCCTCCACCTCCTGTGGTTGGTGTGGCCCAAATCCTCCCTTGACCTCTCAGGCTTAGTTCTGCCCTCCTGTCCCCACCCCCACCCCCCCTCTTCACACTCAGCTGGGAAGCAGATATTTAGTGCCTGAAGGACATCTAAAAAACCGCTTCCTCCTGAGAACAGAGTCAAAAGTAAAAAAGCCCTCCTCAAACCTTCTCTAATTCCCAAACACTACAGAAAAATCACAGTCTGGACAGTCATCCAGGTACAAATTCATCTTGGTCATTGTTCTATAAAGTTTTCGAAGTGGGTATTTTGGCCACAACTAATGCACTTGGAGAAACCCAATTAAGGAGAAAATTATTTCAATTCTTCGTGTCACTCTAATCTTTCCTTTTAGGAAGATTCCAACTCTCTGATTTACCTTTCATTCCAGATGAAATCTATCTAGAATACAGAAGTTAGGTTCAACCCCTACTCCACCCAGAAAGGCAGTTTCTAAGCTACATTCCTCAAGGAAGGAGAGATAACATCCTCCTTAGAAAACTTTTTCCAAATATTTGGAAGATCAGGAAATTCTTGCTAATATCGAACTTCATCTTCCTGCTATAATTTTAATCCTTTGGGTTCTTTGTAGATTATATAATATTAGGCTTTAGTTTCCAAAGAACTCTGCAGTTTAAAAGAGAATCCTGTGCCTAAACAGAGCCAAACTTCTCAATTCTTGATGAAATTTGCATATGATAAAATATATATGTATAATATATGGTGATCCGTTACATGAAAATATAGCACACATGCTACTTTCCTATCACATCTGTCCAGATTTTAATATGCCAGTTATAGTAAAAAGCAGAAAACTGTCTCATAGTATTTTAGAATGTGAATGTAATGTTAATATCAACATTTATAGAGTTCTCTATTGTTTATATTTTCTTGTTTGCTTTAATCCCACCAAGGATGCAGTGAAGTCAGTAGAATTAAACCCATTCTTCTTCTCTGAGGTTGAGACTCAGAGAGACCAAGAAATCTGTCCAGAGTCATAATGCTAAGAAATGGCCAAGCAAGGACTTGAACCCAAGTATTCCAGCCCCCAAACTACTAGTCCTCCTTTATGATATGTACTGCCCACAGTCTATGATTCTCAACCAGATTTGTGACAATTTAATCAGCTTGTATTAAAAGAAACACCAGTGAATTCAGACTCCAACCTCTCCTCAAACAGCCATCTTTTATAGAGAAAAAAAAAAAATGACAACCCTTTTAATTCTTAAGTTCCAACCTTTGATCTTGGTCTTGGCCTTCAAGAACTGGGCTGGGGAGAGCAGGCAGAGAGACACTTGGGGACCTTATGAAAAAACTGTGCAGATAGCTCCTGCTAACCCCCAGCAAAGGCAGCTTCCTACACACACACACACACACACACACACACACACACAGGCCAGAATCAGGTGTAAACTTCTAACACATCCCCCCATTCTGATTAGAATGGCCCCCCTGCCTGCATCCTGGGTGTGATAAGGAGGGGCACCTCTCAAAGATAATTTCAGTTCTAAACATGCCTATGTTCCCCTTGCTCCACTATTTAGACACACAGTATATAAAAGAGGAAATCAATCCGCTTTATTTCACTTTCGTGTTGGGTCTACCCAGAACTTCTCTGGTGAACTGAGTTTGGTCAATCAGAAAATCCTACACCCATAGGTTTTTTTCCAGCTATGGATTATTTCTGTTTGTTTTGTTTTGTTTTGTTTTGTTTTGTTTTATAATCAGCTGTGAATTTAGCAAAGAATTCAGGCTTCATAGACCTTCTGCTCAGGCCAGAGTCTGGTGCGGTTTCTTTTGAGGAAGAAGGGACTTGGGAACACATAGGGAGCCAAGTTACTTTTCTCCCCCCAGTCATTTCTGCTGGGGCTGGGAGAGCCAGCAGGAATTTGAGGAAGTTTTAATCTCTCTGCTACACAAGGGAAGGGAGCAAGACTCAGGGATGAATTAGAGATTATACTGAATTTGGAGAGCTAAGGCCAAAACCATCTCTGCAATCCACGGTTTCACTTGAGACACTTTTTCCCCAACCCTTTTCATCTTGTCATTAGTGATAGACTATTGGTCACTTGGGCTGTTACAGGGAGGCTGCGTTTCCCCAACTCCCAGACAGATTTCTGCTGTTTTATTAAACTGGTTTGGAATTCACTGCTTCCCCTAGACCTCAAATTGTTCCCTTAATTGGAAAAGCAAGGGACGAGATGAGCGGGTTCTCTCTGGGTAGAGGGAGAAAGGTAGAGAGTGAAGTGACAACTCTCAGAGGCTGGGCAGCCAGGTCAGACACAGGCTTCAATCAGAGTTGGGGTTAGATGAGAAATCCTAACCCTCTATCTACCCTTCTTCTGCAAAGGTCTCGGTGGAGAATATCTTAAAGTGAGAGGGAACCATTAGGGAACATCTGTAAACCCAAGAAGAGAAAACAGAAAAAAAATAGGCTTGTTCTCACCTCCACACTCCTTTTCTTTTCAACCCCCCTGCAGGCCACCCCTGCCCCCATCTCGATGCTCCTTTCCTTTGTCTGCCCTCACCCCTTTGGCAGTGAACATTCTCTCCCCCTCCCCCATTGTATCTCCCTTAAAGAAGTTACCAGCTGGTCCCCCTCCCCCCAACTTGTTCTGGTCTGAAGCAGGGTCCCAAGCAGAGTACATGTAAGGAGCGAAAGGGACAAGGGGCCTGTGAGCTCTTTCATAGTTGGGGGCTAAGCGATGCAGTGATGAAGGGTTATCAAGAGAAGAGAAAGGTAGTGTGATTCTGGTGATAAAGATAGAAAGCGGGAGAAGGGACCATAAGGCACAGGCAAAGTGAGGGGACATGGGAAACAGAAATATGGGGACAGAGGCTGGGAGAGAGACCCAGCTTTGGGGTTCTTTGCAAAGGATGAGTACTCACCCTGCCCTTTAAGGCGTGGGGAAACCTGAGAAGTTTTGAGGGTCCTCTCTGGACCTGTCTCACCTGCTTGCTTCCTTTCCTCTCCTGAATTCAGTTGTTTACAGAGATCCCTTCCCTGAACTCTTGCCCTCCTGGACTTGCCCTAGCCCCGGCCCCAGGCCTCGGGTCAGGCAGACACCCTGACAGGTTACAAATGAGCGTGGGTGTTGGATTGCGCCAAGCTCTTGTCCTCCGAGTCTGGAGGAGGAGAATCAATGGGGTCTACCTAAGAGCTTCGCTTCCAGGCCCATCTGGGTCTGAAGAGAGAGAAGGAGGCACTTCCTGTTCTCCTCCCCTCCCCCAACCCTAACCCGACCGACAGACACGGAGCAGCGAGGGGCGAGACTCCACTCCTGAACCTCAGGACCTCCACACTGAGTCTCCCATTCTCCAAATTCCCTCGCCCTATTCTAGAAAGTTCCCTGAAAACTGGACTAATCTTTAAGCTGCAATTGGTATTGAATTTGGGAATTTGAGGGTTGGGATTGGCGGTGGCGGGAGGTGGGGGGGGTGGGGGGATGGGGGGATGGGAGTGGGGTGGGGGAGTGGGGGTGGGGTGGGGGGGCAGGGACAGGGGATGGAAGGTGGTGAGGGAGAGAGGGGGAGGAGGCAACCAGGGGGAACACAGGAGCTACGCTAGTTTCGAACACTTGAGAAAGAGAATAAAAATTCCCTCCTCTTCCCCCTGTAAACATCACCTAGCTCTGTGCCCATTGTGGCTCTCTGGAGAGATACAAGGAGTTATTTGAGTCTGAGTGAGTGAGCCAGCTACAGCTATGGATGGCTAGAGAGAGGATAAATACATC